TATTGAAGGATCAACCACAAGTCTCTTTTTAATTCCGTTCAACAGCGCTTTGCATAGTCCAAAAAGTACTGGTTCTCACAGCACCCCCGTGAAAAGGGCACTATTATGCGTCCGTTGGTAAGGAATCTTGTGAAAGTTTGTTAATTTGCCTACTACCAGGAGAATGGGCAGCAATTACAATAAAAGTCCAAAGTTCCTAAAGCCAGCTGCTTTGATCACACCGGGGACGCTCATTATTTGCCACCTAAGCTGAATTATTGAATTTTACACTATCTAACCACCGTAAATTCCGGCTTCTCCAACGCAGAGTAATTTTAGTTGCTTCATTTCCTTTAGCTTTCCCTGCCTGGATCTCATGCTAAAATTAGCCTCAAGGTTGGAGGAACTGGATGGAAAGTTCAGTACCAACTCGGAATGTTTTCCATCGTTTGACCAAACTTCGAATGCTGAACATTTCTAACATTCAAAGAGGGTTTGTTTAAGTTTTCCAGTTTTACCCGCCTGGTGACCAATGGCACCAGAAGCTGAAGAGCCAACATTCTGGAAAGAGAAACTATTCCAAACAAGATTCCTGGCCCAGGGCAGGCCTGAAAGGATCCAGATGCATTGGAAAGAGGTAGCCAACCTCCTGGACCCCTGCGTAAACGGGTCCTCTGGACTCTGGTTTGGCCGAGCCAGGTGGCGACGGTGTAAGGCCGGGTCCCTCGTTTTGGAACAAAGCATAGGATATGACATCTGCAAGGCCAAGGCTGGAGAGCAGAGGCAGGTATCCCACGGGGAGGACGGCTCACGGCAGGACACCGGCGGCCACCTGCAATGCTACCACATGAACACGTGGTGTGCGTCTGGAAGAACTCACAGGATTGATGTGTTTCCAAAATGCAAACTAGGTAAAAACTGAGAGTCTGATGCCCCTGGAGGAAAAGCAGCCTTCTGTTTATATACATGTGGTCACCAGCTTGGGAGACGGAGCACACGGGAGCCTCCCCACCTTGTGTGTCAAACCTCAAACTGTAAACTTGACCCAAACCCAGCACGCGCGAGGAGAGTCTGAGTGACCATCCAAGAAAGCTCTATCTCGGAGGACAGGAGCCGCACCTCTTGCGGGTTTCTGCTGTCTAGAAACATCCAGAGTTTAAAAACTTGTGCCAAGGCAACAAGGTAGAAAAGGTCGACTTTTCAGAAAGCTCTAAGGAAAACGGAGATCACAAAGACTGTAGGAAATCATCATAGCGTATCCTTTACCAAATCCCTACCTATGCAAGGGCTTTCTCGGAGCCACGCCTCTCCAGCTTTGATGTGGGCGGGAATCACCTGGAGAGCTGCAAACCTGCAGACTCTAAAAACGTAGGTCTGGGACAGAGCCCAAGATTCTGATCCCTCGCGAGTTCCGGGGTGATGTCACTGCTGCTGACCGACAGGCCACCTTTCGAGTAGTGAAGCAGTTGAAACTCTTAGATTTCAAACAATGGTCATTAAACAGCCTTTCATGTCATTAGACAGCTTTCGTTGGATGGGTTGACAGGATTCATTGATGGGTTTCAATGCCTGACTGTTTTCTTTTTTTTGTCTTTAAGTCCCATTTCTCCACAGAGCAATGTGTCTCCATCCAGGGAAGGTAAGGGTGTGAATACTGAAACTCTTATCTGGCTGTACAGTAAAGTCTTGTGGGGGCTTCCGTTCGAATTCTACTTTTACTGGGAAGAATGAGAGACTCGTGCGTAAGATGGCCATGCCCCACTGTGGACGCCGTCGTGAGGGGTCTGGAAAGATCTGCGACAACAGGGCCTCCAGCTTATTCTGAACTTCTGGGTTTGCCAAGGGCAGGTTTGGGTTGGGTTGCACATAGAAGTTTATACGTTAATTATAGGGTTATGCAACCATGCATCTTTCCACCTTTGGTGGTATTTTTATGGAACCATTAAAAATGACACCTGAGCATATTCCTCCCCCCATCAGTGGCATGTAGAAGCCGTAGCCAATTTGAGTGAGGATGAAAACTGCCATCCAATTACTTGGCAAAGCCACAGTCGGTTGTAGCCGCTTGGGTACAATTCCCAAGCGAGCAGCCCAAGGTCTGAGTCACTCTCAGGAAGTAGGTCACAGGGTGTGGGTTAATGCACAAACTTAAAGAATCTTCAACAGTTCTCGCAAAGATAGGCTTGAGTATTCCTCCAGGGGGCTCACTGATGACATATGTGTCTTTTCGTCTTGGGCTCCCGGGGAAGTGGTAAGGCCAAGTTCACCAGCGGCTGGCTGGGTCCTCACTTATTGTCAGGACTGGGAGGAGGCCCAGAAAAACTCTGACTGTTGCCTCACCAAGCTCTGAGGTCCTGCTGCGGCCGTTATGACAGATAACCCGGAGGGAGGCAACGCCAGCACCCCGGCGCACTGGCCTTCAACTCTGCCCCCTGGTGCCCCGTTGAAACTCCGGCCCCGGCGATTACAGATGATCGCAGCGTTAAGGTGAGGCCTCAGCAAACACAAACCCCAGCCTGACAAGTCCTCTTTAACCTTGACCTGCCCTAGGAAGACTCTGCTGGGCAGGATACATGTTCGGCTCTAGCGAGGCGCGCAGAGAAAAGCCAAGAATGCGGGCAGTTAGCTGACCCATCCAGGGCCGCCTCCCTTCAAGCATCTGGACACCTAAGGCTGAAAGCATGTGGGGAGTTTCTAGAATGAAGTATCAGAATTTATCTGCGTCGCCACTTGAATTGCTAAGTCATTAATAAGTCTGAGCCAGCTCGGAAGTGACAGCTGCGTGTTACGGCCTTCAGCTCTTACGACCCTTCCAGGGAATATTACATACAGAAGAGAGAAAAGAGCCTGATGTGGGCTCACACCCACACGTAGGTTTAGCAGCGAGCACAGGAACACGGTCTTAATTACCTTCGCAAGGGATTTGCATTGAGAAGCAACAGGAAACGTGCATCGGGCGTGGATATTAATAAACATCATAAAAGAAATACCTACCTTATTATTCTTTTAAATATTAATAAGGTGTCAACCTTCGGGAAGCTAACTTCACACAAGTGTGGGAGAAAGCAGTCTCTTGAGTTTCAATTCCTGCACTAGTCAAAACAGGAGTAAGTCAAAATCATGTCCTTTCCTTTAAAGAGACCTGCGCCATTTGCCCGCGAGCACATGATCACGGTGGGTAGGAGCGAAACTGAGCAGATGAGGAAAACACCGAGGGGTTGTTCAGGTTCTACGGGCTTCCTGAAGCCCCTTCGCTGCTTGTGCCCGTGCAGCTTGGAATCCAGGGTTGGTATCTTGGGCCCGTCATCTCGACCGCTCTTGACCATGTGAGTCGAAACGTGGTGTGTACAGGGTGCCGTGAAGGCTTGTACGCGGAGCAGAGCGAAGTTAATAGAAAGAAATTAGGGGAAGAGTCTCCCTTTACCTTGGAACTTCAAGAAACACGGCGTTTTATTTGTCAGCACTTAAAGGCAACGAGCAGGAGAGAGAAATTATTACGTGTGCCCGGAATGGCTTGCCCACGTGCAAAAGTACCCTGTGTGTAGCACATTCCACGCAGGTTGACTTCTTCCCGGGGTGGAGGGTGAGCGCTACGATCTGCTTCGCTCAGTCCCCATGAGAAAGGGGCTTGCTGAGGAGTGTAGTTCCCGTCGGGCTAACCTGCATTTTGCCTCCAGGTCTGAGTTAGCCTATCGATGCCAACAGAACCAGAGAAAGGCAATGCAGTGAACTTCCACAGGTGAAAATGAAAAACAAACGGTTGCAGGTTAGCCTTCCGCTTGGGCTCAAAGTGCAGGGTCTCTCCTTTCTTGGTTCTCCGGTAGATTCCTAATTTGAGTGTGTGTGTCGGAGAGAACCCTGATTTCCCCTCTGTACCGAAAAGATGTTCGTTTAGGAGGAGTAAAACCACATAATTTTGCTTTTATTGAAACGACCTGTTGGTCACAAAACTCAAATGCTTCCCTCCCCCCCCCCACTTTTTTTCGATTTTTTTTTAAGCTTTACAATACCAGCAAGTAGCTAGACCCTTTCAAGGGATCAAGCTCTCCGCAAAACATTTCCTTTTATTTTGTTTTTCCTTTCGTAGTTTCACTTACGCTGCCCTGGTCTTTACCAAGTGCTGGATTGTCCTGAGCTGATGCCCAGCGTCTTAAGTGATGGGCTCCACATCCTGCCTGAGCCTGATGCCAAGGTTGAACTACTATTGAATAAGCGGCAATGAAACTGTTATCAAAATAATGAGTGGCTCCCAAAACCACAAGTAACAACAGCAAGACCCAAGTTGTCCTCCATCAGCAAAGACCATTGATATAATAAGAGACTGAGTCACTTTTCTCTACGGTCCCTCTCTTGCAGACTCTACTCGGCTCTTTTCTTGAACAGCCTCGGGGAAGGCAGGTGGGGGGGGGGGGGGGTTGGGGAAGGAAGGGCATTGCTCAGAAAGTAAAAAAAAAAAAAGAAGAAAGGAAAAAAAAAAAAGAAATTTGACATCACTTAAGTCACATGATTGGCAAGAACCAATTAAGACGGGCTGTGGAAAGGGGAACAGTTAAATTTGTAATTTGGGTTGTGTGAAAACTTCTTTGGGCCCCATAAACAACCACAGAACCACAAGTTGGGTAGGCTGGTAGTCTCAGAAGTCTGCGCCCGGCATAGTGGTCAGCGAGCAGGACGAATCACACTGACGGCAAACCACAGGGTTTCACAGAGTGGTGAACATCACCAACCCACAGCCAAGACGCCGCTTTTTTTTTTTTTTTTCAAATCTTGAACAATTTGAATATTTTGTTTTCGCCAAGGTACATGTTTCGCAGGGCTCAGGGAGCCCCAGAGGTATGGGGAGGAAAAACCAAACAACAACAACAAAAAAAAAAAACAAAAAAAGAAAGAAAGAAAGGCAGGGAGCCACGGTCGGGGGGATGAGGTTAAGACAGTGACCTTTCTTTGGTTTTCCCTCCAAAGGTGAAAGAAATCATTGAATCCCCCGCCTTCAGAAGAGGGTGCATTTTCAGGAGGAAGCGATGGCTTCAGACAGCATATTTGAGTCATTTCCTTCATACCCACAGTGCTTCATGAGAGGTGAGTACGCTCTGGTCTTTCGATACCTTCTTTGGCTCGGCTTTGCAGATAACGAAATGGCAGCTTGTCGTAACTCGGGGCGCGTAGCTCCCGTCGATTCCCTGTCGGTTTGGTGGAAGGAATTCAAACTCAGGCGTATGATTACAAGGCTATTGGATTACTTATTCATCAGATGGCAGCTCTTCAGAAATGTTTTAATAAATACTTAGCTAAGCTGTTGAAGTGTTCAGTCGGTGTGTGAGAACTTTGTCAAGTGCAAGTAAGTTGGGCTGTTCCTGATTAAAGTCCTAGAGATGATAAAGCTCGCAAGAAGCCGTCTGGGTTTGCTTTTCTGCCCCTTGCCTGCAATGACGGTGGCTGAGCGTCCTGAACTCGGCCCGCCCCGGGGGGGGGGGGGGGGGGGGGGGGGGGGGGGGGGGGGTAGCGGGCACCTGCACAGCTGGCCGGGAGGGCTGGTGCCAGCGTGGGGCGGAGGCGGAGGCAGGCTGGCAGGCACACGTTAGACCAGCCTGGGGACTTCGGGGGCAAAGTGGTAGCTCTGCTGTCCCCTCAAGGGAGACAGCGCGAGAGCCAGGCGGATCTGTCTGTGTTAGAACCACCAGGATGGGGCCACGCTCCTCGTGGCCTCAGTGCAAAGCGGCAGCCGGCGTCCTTCGTGGGGGGGGGCAGGGGGAAATGCAAGTTGTCGCCTATGGAGAGATCTCTGTCTCCCTCTGCACAAAGAGCAATGAAACCGTTTCCTAAGTCTAGCGCCATGTCGCGGCCCGGGTCATTAGACGGTGCGCTTCCTAATTGGAACGGCCCGTGTGGAAACGCTTGTCTGCAGTTTCGCAGGCAGCCTCGCGAAATGTGCAAAGCTGCGCCGGGGCCGCGGCTCTGGGTGTGCGAGTACGCGTGCGCGTGTGCGTTTTGCGCGGCGCTGGTGGGAAAAGAGGGCCGTGCTTCAACAAACAGAAATAATAAGAACATAAGAATGTCGCGAAGGCAGAGCAGTGTGTCGGGGCTCGCACTCTGACCGACGCCTGCAAAATGCGGCATGATGGTTTGGCAGAGCCGGGACGGAGTGGGATCGGCCGGGGGAATAATTAATTTTCTGGCTACAAACTCTCGCGCGCACCCAAATAGGATCTGTGACTCATTATTTGTTCATACAGCCAAATGAGCAGGGGAATGCAGAAGGCTGCCAGCCACTTTGTCACAACAAATGCTATTGTGAATGTCACAAGGCCTCTATGTTTCCGGGTCCCTGAAATGTAAAAACTTGACAAAGCTGTGTGTGTGTGTGTGTGTGTGTGTGTGTGTGTGTGTGGAGGGGGGGGGATCTCAGGGGAAGGGGAAGAAAGCAAGTCATTAACCGATTCAAAGCTTCAAATTAGAGGGTTTGCAAATGCTTCTTTACTGGCAGCCGAGGAAATTTTAGTGAAGTTGAATCATGCGATGTGTGTGAGTCACACGCCCTTGTCGCAGAGCAGCGCCGGGCTCCTGTGGCAGAGACGCCGGCCGCTGGTGAGAAGCTGTTAGGCTGCTCCCTGGCTGCATTTCCTCTGGGCCACTAATGAGCAAAGGAAGCAATATTTGTAGAATAACAGAAAGAAAGATCTTCCTGCCTTCACTCCGCTTTCAATACCCTCCACACAATTATTGTTTCCTATTTTATCAAACTCAGGAAGGCAGAGTCAGGAAATTTGAAAACATTCCATTGGGCAATAGATTGGATTTGGGGCACAGTGTGAGGCTGCCTTCAAAGCTGTCCTTACCGGCCAGACGGCAGAGACGGGGAAGGGACCCAGGGACCGGCTCAAATACAGGAAATAGAAGGAGGCCCGGCCCTCGAACAGCCCCATAGCTCCTGTGCTAACGTAGGTCCCTGAGCCGCCCCAGGTTAGGAACAGGGGCAGTTTGCTTTTAAGTGAGTGGGGGCGAGAGAGCCCTGAGACTCGAATCAAGACTCAGCAGGGCTATTGGCAAAAGCCCTCGGTGTCAGGAGAAGGAACTTAGGGGCTTTTACAGTCTCTAACTTGAATAATATTACATTGAGATTTCATTTCAGGGAGCCAAAGTGAAATCTTAGCAATTTCCCAGTTAGTTTTAGCAAGGTGACCCGCCAATGGAAGGTCTGCATCGTCGGGATCAGCCTTCCGCGCTCACTGGAGCCAGAGGGGTGGCCAAAGGTCCTTGCTTTCGGGGCCTCTTGGGCCCTGCCTGAGAGCGTGATGCTAGGAGAATCGTGTCTGGTCATCTCCAGCAAATGGTTCTCTCTCGGCATTCTTAGCCACATTCCCGAAGACTGGCTATTTGCAGCGCTCAGCCCCGTGGTCATTTCTTGCTACGTAAAATCTATGGCGAATGTTCCCTCCCTGGAGCTACGGGGGTGGGAAACAACGCCTGGTTTTCCTCCCGGGACGGTACTTTATCAGTCCGTGCAATCCTCACAGGAGGAAACCCGTAGCTCATTTTCGGCAGAGACATCCATGTGGAAACCGGGAGGAGCGAGAGGCGTGGGACCAAGCAAACCACTGTTCCCTTGCCTTGAGAGGCAAGCAAGGGTCTAAAAGAGTGGCATGCAAAATGAATGTGGTCTACCACAGAGGACGCCTCTCTGCTCCCACCATGCCGCCCCACACTCTCACTTCATTTGCTTAGGTGAGAAGGTTAGACGTGACGGACGTTCCCTGGGAGGAACGAACACGCCTGGTTCGCGCCGCGGCATTCTTGCAGAACCCACACTGGTGTCCCCCCACGAGGCCCAAGGCGTCGGCCCCCAGGGCAAGTGGTAGATGTGAAAGAGGAAAGCGGTGGCACATGCGAACTTTTGCACAATGCCTCAGGTAGCCTTGTTCTTAGAAGTGGCTTAGTAGTCTATGCAAAGCCCGAATGCTAATATGCCTCTGAGTTCCTAGAACCACAGGTAAAAAAAAAAAAAAAAAAAAAATCTCAGCGAGGCTGACTCACGACTGTCTTCTTGGAGGGTATCTTTCAAAGGGAATGGCAGAATACAAGGCTGAGTGAAGCGTGCTCCTCTGGGAGCCTCCGTGTGCCACTGTTTTCACAAAAACCTTCGCCAAGACGCTTCTGGCGCGACCGAAGAGTCAAGATCACAGAAAGCCGTAGATTAACTTGGGCATCTGTAGTTTGAAAGGTGTGAAATCTGTATCATTTTTCTGGAGCCGCCATGGCGAAGCATCACAGGCTGGGTGGCTAAAACAATGGAGATGTAGGGTCTCGTGACTCTGGAGACCAGAAGTCTCATTGAGAAGTCTGGTCGAGGTTTATTTCTGGAAAGCTTCAAGGTGCCGGGAGGATTGGTTTCTTCTGAGGCCTCTCTCCTTGGCTCGCGGGTGGCCGTCTTCTCCCTGTGTGTTCGCGCGATCCTCTCCGTGTATATCTGTGTCCCAATCTCCCTTCCTATAGGGACACCAGGCTTGTGGCATCAGGGCCCGCCCTAAATTTACCAGTAATCACCTCTGTAAAAACCCAACCTCCAAATACAGTCACATTCTGAAGTGTTAGGAGTTAAGAACTCCAACCTATGAATTTTGGAGGGGACCCAATTCAACCCGTGACATGTGTCTTAGCAAATCTGACTGCTTCTGGCCCACCAGGAAACCATACCCTTCCTAGGGCCCCTCCCGGATGTTGAAGACTCAGACCCTAGCCCCCTACCCCGTGCGAAACGGAGCCTCACATCTTGAAACTGCCCACACATTTTGAAACTGAGAGGGGAGAAAAAAAGGTGCCAAAAATCGATCTAAACTCACAATCGTACGTTTCGCCATTTAGTTTCTTTGCACGCTAACAAACCTTTGAAAATGACAAAGCAATTCTGGAGTGTTTAAGTTTTAAAAGAGCAGAAAGCTGTCCCCAGAAGAAACCAGGCCTCAGTTCTGTTTCCTCCAGGGCGACTGTCCTCGGATTTCAGAGTCCTTGCAAGGCACACTTCAGCAGCGAGGGTGGATGGCGGGGATGGGGGAGGGTGTCAGGCCGCAGGAGGCCCCACATCTGCTCGCACACCAAGTGCAGGCCCAGTGAACAAGCAATAGCCGAAGTGTCTTCAGAAACGGCAGCCGACCCAGGAGCTGAACAGCCAGAACCCTTGGAGAGCTTTTGGAAAGAAATCAGGAGCCAGGAGGTTCTTTTGTTCGCTCAAACTAGCCCTGAGATGTGTGCTCAGGAGAGACCTGCCCCTTTACAGAGAAAGCGGGGCTGGGTCTGATACCCGGGGCCGAGGAAGGCTCCAAGGCCACCGCACACGGAGACTCTATTAGAGACACCAGCCCTCGGCTGGGAGCCGGGGTAGAGAGAGCCCGGAGTTGATGGGAACAGTGAGAGAACAAGGCGGGGCGGTGGGCTGTACGTGGACCAGGCACGGACAGCCCAGGGATGATGGACTTTTCCTTTCCATTTTTCTGGCTTTAGCCGAATGGCAAAAGCAGCTTCTCTCGTGAGCCTCGGTTTCCTTGTCTACAAAACAAGGAGGTAGTGGTCGTACCTATGGCTAATGCAGCTGTGTGGACTGAATTCAGTAACCTGTGTAATGTGCTTGGCACAGTCACAAAAACAGGCAGTTAAGTATTAGGCGGGAACTGAGAGGAGAGAGGGGAGAGGTCTAGGCTGGGGCGGGGGGTGATGTACGGTCTGGGCAGAGGTGACTCAGCGGGAACCCCAGTGGGGTATGGGAGGTGCTAAGTAAGTCAGCCCGATGGCTTTCCCATCGTCACATCACCCTTCCCTCACTCGGAAGTACCCACAGAGAGGACAGGAGAGAAGCCTGGACCCTTCGTATAGCTCAACTCAATCATTGTGGCTTTTCTTTTTTATATTTTTTTATTTTTTTTATGTTCATTTATTTTTGAGAGAGAGACAGAGACAGAGAGAGACAGAGTGCAAGCAGGGGAGGGGCAGAGAGAGAAGGAGACGCAGAATCCGAAGCAGGCTCCCGGCTCCGAGCTGTCCGCACAGACCCCGACGCGGGGCTCAAACTCACGAACCACGAGATCATG